ATAGGAGGGGCATTTGTAAATCTGCAGCGAAGGAATGGCTCCAACACTGGTGGAATTACAGACCTCGTGGAGCCTTTTGGGGCCATCTATGGAGGTCTGTTGGGATCTCGGGGCCTTGAGGCTCCCTTCTGGCTCTCTCGGGGCCGTCTTGCGGGCCGCGACGGGCCTCTCAGGACAATTTCGGGGGCCATCGATCAAACGTAGGGCAGCCCCAGTTCCCCCACCACGAGGCCACAAAGTCGCCTCGTGAAACCATTTTGGGGCGCTCTTCGGGTCATCGTGGGCCGTTCGTGGACCTCCCTTGGGCCCTCTTGGACCATCTTGGAGCGATTTTGAAGCTTCAGAAACCCATCGGACGCGAAAAGGGAGAGAAGGCAACACCAAACCTTGGTAGTCATCAGTCCGATCGTTGACAGATCTTGGGAGGTTCCGCGGCCTATCGTCACCGTCGTCGTCAGCACCATCGTTACCACCGTCACCACCATCACCTATGACCATTACCATCGGCGTCGTCACCATTCCCGCTGCCATCATCAACGTTATCATCACCGTCATGGTCGTTGTCGTCGCCTTCAGCTCTATAGTTGCCAATCGCCAGCGGCATCGCTGCTGCCGTCATCACCATCAGCTTGATCACCACCGCCGTCGTCGTCGTCGTAACCATCCCGCCGTTGTCGTCAACATCATCGCCGTTGTTGTCGCTGTCGACAGCGCCATAATCATACACTTGCTCGGTGACTGGATTGATCGTTGCAATGGTGAGTGCCGCAACCACTGCGGCTGAAATCGTAATGTGTGCGATTCCTGTGCCAGAGCTCGCCCACTCCTGTCGGAGACGTTCCCAGATACGGTGCCCGGGCGGTGGGCGCCTCGTGGTCGAGCGAGGGGCCTCTTCCAGCTGTGGCTCCTGCGCTCCGATGCTGACTTGCCCCGTCATCCCGTCGTGCGTCTGCCAGGGGCTGGGAGGCCAACTGGTGGAGCCGTCCTGCGTGGGCGGCGTGGCGCTGACCGTCGGTGCGGCGGGGACTCAGCTGGCAGAGGTATCAGGTACATCGCCCCGTGGAGGTACCATCGGCAGCCAGCTGTGACGAGTCCACTCGTGCCCAGGCTCCGGCCATCAGGAACAGGCGGGCTCGGCTAGAACGATACGGCTTCAGGTGTTTGCCATCCGACGCGGAGGTGTGGACTGCCGTCGCGGATGCGATCCTGGTGCGGTGAGTCGCCCGACCCGCGCCGCCAGCGTCCATGCCGCTGGCTGCTGGCAGCGTCGGCGGCTTTGCGGCGGGCGCTCAGCTCTTGGCCGATCCAGCGCCTCCCGCAGCCGCCGTGGCCGCGCCCCAGCGGGCCCCCCCTGCTGCGGGGGTTGCTGCCGCCGTTCCCCATGTCCGGGGGGGTGATTGCGTTGGCATGCCTGGCCTTGTGGCGGCCCTGGCGGGCGCTGGCGCGCCTGCGGCGGCCGCGGCAAGGGCTTCCGCACTGCCAGCACCGCCTGCGGCTGGCCCGGCGGCGGCCGCTGGGCTTGCATTCGTGGTGGGTGCACCCGCTGGCGGGTCGGCATCGGGTGGGGCGGCAGCGGCCCCCCTGGCCGCCGCTGTGCTGCTCGCTGCCCCCGCTCGGCTTGCGGCTCCTGCAGCAGCGGCGGCAGCGGCGTCGTTCGATTTGCGCGTGAACCCCGTGGCTATCGACATCCGCGGCGCCAGGTGGGGGGACTTCGCGAAGGAACGATGCTCCACTCCTCCACCAGCCGGAGGGACTGGCCTGTGCGCGGGCCCAGTGCCGCGCCACGTCGCCGTCAGGACGGGGTTCGAAGTGAGTGGCCGAATGGAGGATGTTCGGAGACGATCCCATCACCCGGGAGCATGCTCCTTTGTCCCGCATCCTTGGTCTGGCGGCTTGCTACGACCAGGTCAACTTCGGAGAGCCACACCTGCCAAAATCCATTGATGCCGCCATCTAGTTGGCCGGCCCTATGCGGCCAGGGTAAGCAAGTATGCAGAATACGTGTAGCTCGCGTTTGGCCGCTGCACTGTCCCGTCTCTGACCCACTCTTCTCTTTATGCGAGACGGTCGCCCTCGCCGCTGTCAGCGAATAGCTCCTTGGCACCAGGAAGGGAATAATATCAGATCGCTGATTGCTGAGCGTTTTGATCGTTGCGATGGTAAGAAACGGCAATCACTACGGTTTAAGTCTCCCTCCCTCACTGGTTGGGCTGGCATCACCCAGAATTGCATCACCAGCAAGCCCCCTACCCACGCTCCTGCTCGCCGATCGCCCCTGCGACTCCGAGTCCGATTCCGGCTCGCGACACGTGAGGGCCCCGTCCACCCCCGCGCTGCCCTCGTAGGGCCAGTCTCGCCCGATCGACACGGCGCGCTCACCTCGCCTCCCCTCTCTCGCCGACGTGTGTGCTGAGTTTTGGCTGCTCCGCTGGGCCCCGTCTCTGGCCCCCCCTTCTTCTCAGGCGTGGCGGTCGCCCTCGCCCCTTGCCAGCTGGGATAGCCCCCTGGCGCCAGGAGGTGGTGAACACAGGCAGCAGCCTTATCGTTGCCATGATCACGGGGTTCATCATCGTCGTCGTCATCAACAGCATCCTCATCATCATCATCAGCTTCATCATCATCATCATCATCATCATCATCATCATCATCATCATCATCATCATCATCATCATCATCATCATCATCGCCATCATCATCATCATCACCACCATCATCATCATCATCATCATCATCAGCATCATCCTTCGCCAACCCAAATTATGCGTCTGCGTGAAAAGGATCCACGCGTGACTACGCCGTTTGAGTTTTACGTGTGCACGAGCGTTGGAGGTGGTCACGCGCAGATGCCAGTAGGGTAAATTGCACCCTATTGCACGTCACCGGTGGCATATCCCTCATATTGTACCACGTCGGGTGCACATCGAGAGTTCCACAATCCATCGTTTGGGGCCCACGGTGTCAATCAACGTGTTCCACTACGTCGCCTATAAAGCACAGCCATGTGTGTAAATTTGTTTGTTCCCAACCATCCTGTGGTGTTGGGTCCTCGTTTTGAAGAGACGGTGGCCCGCGTCTCCTCTCCTCCTCCTCCTCTCCTCCTCCTCCTCCTCCCTCCTCCCTGCGTTTCACCTACCCAGTGCATCGTTTCGTGGCCCCATAGGGAGCTCCACCGAAGGCTCCAGTGGCAGGGTTTGCATGCCGGCCTCGGGCCATTTCGGCACACCCCTCACGAGGATCGTGGCCCCATAGGGAGCTCCACCGAAGGCTCCAGTGGCAGGGTTCGCATGGCGGTCTCGGGCCATTTCGGCACACCCCTCACGAGGATCGTGGCCCCATAGGGAGCTCCACCGAAGGCGCCAGTGGCAGGGTTCGCATGGCGGCCTCGGGCCATTTCGGCACACTCCTCACGAGGATCGTGGCCCCATAGGGAGCTCCACCGAAGGCCCCAGTGGCAGGGTTCGCATGGCGGCCTCGGGCCATTTCGGCACACCCCTCACGAGGATCGTGGCCCCATAGGGAGCTCCACCGAAGGCCCCAGTGGCAGGGTTCGCATGGCGGCCTCGGGCCATTTCGGCACACCCCTCACGAGGATCGTGGCCCCATAGGGAGCTCCACCGAAGGCGCCAGTGGCAGGGTTCGCATGGCGGCCTCGGGCCATTTCGGCACACCCCTCACGAGGATCGTGGCCCCATAGGGAGCTCCACCGAAGGCCCCAGTGGCAGGGTTCGCATGGCGGCCTCGGGCCATTTCGGCACACCCTCACGAGGACCGTGGCCCCACTGGAGCTCCACCGAAGGCGCCAGTGGCAGGGTTCGCATGGCGGCCCCGGGCCATTGCGGCACATCCCTCACGAGGATCGTGGCCCCATAGTTGCGCTGCTTCAACAACCGCGCATGGGCGTCGTACTCCGCCTTGTCGACGTGCAACGCCACCTCCTCCCTCATGGCTCTCAAGGCCTTCTCCTGCTTCTGCTCCTCGGTGAGAGGGACGCCGTCCTTGTCGTCGTCGGCGCCCGCGAAGACGGCCACGAGCGTGTCCCTAAGCATGTCGGGCTCCGGCGGGAAGCCGTGGCCACATAGGGAGCGCAGGCGAAGATGGCATTCACAATTGCGGCATTCACAACTGCTTATTGTTGGGTCCTTCGCCAGGATAATTTTTATGTCATGTATATTATCCTCAGTCAGGCTTGTAGGCTTTCAGTGGTTTGGGATGTTCCTTGGTTCAGCAGGATTCTGCCAGGTTGGCGTGCTTTCTGGCCACTCGGAAAGCTGGCGCCTCTTCGGAGCAAGGGGCCCATCACTGTTTCTACACATCGGCGCTCAATCTATTATCGTTTTTCTGCAAGGTCAAGGTCAGTCTACTGTCCTCCCAACTCTCCCCTGGTCATCTTGTTTGTGTGCCCAGCTGCCCCTCTGAAGGGTGGTGGTCTCGGAAGTCCTCTCGAGCCACCGTGCTTGGGGAACCTCGTGGGAGGTACCCAGTATTCGTATGGGGGGTGTTGGTGTCGCCTTGGGCGGGGGAGTTCCCAGGCACCTGGCCTAGCGCACCCTCTGAGACGAACGCGGTCGAACGCCCACAGTGTTCAAACGTTCGGCGGCCAGCTGGACATCATGCAGCTCAGCCCAGGGCCGCCCGGAAACTCATCAAATTTAGGGTCTCGGCTTGTTAGACTCTTACAGCCCTCTCGACACTCACAACGGTACTGCACTGAGCCATCTGTCAATTTGTTACGTGTTCAGAGTACGGTGGCTAATCTCTCCTCCCCCCTGTCCCCACTCTCTTTCTCGCCCCCGTGTCATGCCTCATCTCATCAACGTCCCTCAGCGTCACTCTCTCTCGCCACCCCTCCTTTTCCGTGAGTTGCTGAACGGGCAGCAACAGAAGGAGGGAGACAGAGAGAGAGCGAAAGAGAGAGAGAGAGGGAAAACGACGAGAGAGAGAGAGAGAGAGAGTCCAAGAAGCCCACGTGGGGCTGCAGCTGCTGGCAGCTGTGGTCGGAGGATCGCCTTGCATCATCGATGCATCGGCGACGTTGGGGTGGAGAAGGTCGGGCTCCGTAGGAGGATGACGAGGAGGGAAATAAGGAACATGTGGGATCAGGGGGGGATGCGGACAGGGGAAGGGAGGTGAGGAGAGGGATGAAACGCGGCACGGGGGAGAAGAGGAGAGATTACTGCGAGGGCCAGGGATGGAGTGGGAGGAGAGGCGGGAGGAGGACGGGCATCGTAGTGTGCATAACGGGGGAGGAGAAGGAATGGCAATGAAAGGAGCAGTGCGCAGTGGGAGATTGTGTAGTCCAGTCATGCTCGCAGTCTTTGCTATACGCCTTCCCAACATTGGCCCTCCTTCGTTTTACAACTATCCGTCTTACTTGTCTTGGCCGTGTTCGAAGTGTCACTCCTTTGTGCAATCGGACCCGTGCACGGCTACGGACATCTTATCCAGCCACGGTGACCAAGTAGCCGCACCTCTTCAGGATTATGTGTGGTCGTTTCTTGAGTGGCTGATCGCAGACACGCTGTGAGGAAAATCCCTACACTCCTTAGATGCCCCCGCCCAGTAGCATTGCTTCTACTGTTGCTACTATTACGTGTTCGACTCCTGCTTCTATTGTTTCGAGCATTCATATTCTTTACCTTTGACTCTTCTCATTCCTCCCCCTGCTTCTCCTATCCAGGATCCTGCTTTTCATCCCACTTCTGCTCCGTCCTCTTCTCTTGACCCTGCTCTTCCTGCTCCTGCCCCCCTCCTCGTCGTCCTCCTCGCTCGTTCAAGCAGCGCCGAGGCTACGACGGGGAGAGCGACAGAGTGAAGGAAGGCTTGACAGGCGGAGGGGCATACTGACGGCGCAGTGGTCCGCGTCAGATCCCGCCCCGCGCGAGAGGAATTCGAAAGTGTCGCTGCGCGTGAATATATGATCTTCTCTGATGCCGCATATTGCTGGTTCCCAGCGTCTTCTTCTCATCCACCTGTCCCTTGTTTACGAATTGCATGTGCCGTTTTTTTGCTCTCTGGCGTAGCTTGCGTATGCGCAAACCGGCGTCTTTCGCAAGGTCGTACCTAGCAGTCCCCTGCCCTCAATCATACCTATGGTCTGGGAGATTCTTGCATGTCATCTCAGAGGATGAAGAGTACGCCTGACAACGAACGACGACAAGGACGAGAAGGACGACGACGAGGACGAGGACGACGATGACGACGACGAGGACGACGATGTCGACGACGAGGACGAGGACGGGGACGACGACGACGACGACGACGAGGACAAGGACGAGGAAGACGGCCGCCTCTGAAGATCTTTCGGGGTCTCTGGAGGCCCGAGGAGGTCTCCGGAGGCCTCTGGAGGTGCCTCGAGGCCCTTCGGGGCCCTCGACGACGACGACGACCACGACGACGAGGAGGACGAGGAGGACGAGGGCGAGGGCGACGACGACGAAAGGGACGAGGACGGGGGCGGGGACGAGTACGAGGACGACGGAGGCGACGCGACCGCCACCACGACGACGACGACGACGACGACGACGACGAGGGCGACGACGACAACGACGGCAACTACAACGACGACAGACGACGACGACGACGACGGCAACAAGGACGAGGACGGGGACGACGACGACGACGACGATTTGAGCAAGGAGGACGACAACGACGAGGACGACGACGAGGACGAGAATGAGGTCGTAGACGGGGACGACGACGAGAACGACGACGACGACGAGGACGAGAGCAATGGCGACGACGAGGACGACGACGATAAAATTGGCGACGACGACGACGAGGACGAGGACGAGGACGGGAGCAAGGACGACGACGACAACGATACCGACGACGACGACGAACGACGACGACGAAGACGACGACGCCGACGACGACCATGACGACGAGGACGACGACGACGACGACGACGGCCGCCTCTGACGGTCTCCAGAGATCTCCAGACGCCGCAGGAGGTTTCCAGAGGCTTGTGGAGGCGTCCAGAGGCCTTTCGAGGCCTCCCGATACGACGAGGACGAGGACCAGGGCGAGGATGAAAGGGGCGACGACGACGACGACCAGGACGACGAAAGCGACGACAACGACGACGACGAAGACGACGACGCCAACGACGACGGCGACGACGACGACGGCCGCCTCTGAAGGTCTACAGAGGTCTCCAGATGCCTCAGAAGGTCTCCGGAGGCCTCCAGGAGCGCCTCAGGCCGTGCGAGGGCCTCGGACACGACGACGGCAACTACAACGACGACAGACGACGACGACGACGGCAACAAGAACGAGGACGGGGACGACGACGACGACGATGAGAGCAAGGAGGACGACAACGACGAGGACGACGACGAGGACGAGAATGAGGTCGTAGACGGGGACGAGGACGAGAACGACGACGACGACGAGGACGAGAGCAATGGCGACGACGAGGACGACGACGATAAAATTGGCGATGACGACGACGAGGACGAGGACGAGGACGGGAGCAAGGACGACGACGACAACGATACCGAC